TTCTCCATACTATACTCTTTCCTCCTCATTTTTAATATCCTTTTTTCTTATTTTTTTCTCAATTTTTCTAATTATTATTGCTCTTTTTGGCCCAGAATACTCTGTTTTCTGAGAGGTGGTCTCTAAGTAAGAGAAACCCAAGTATTCCTTATGAGTCCGTCTCCTAATTCATAAAGAATATACACAAACTCCTGTTTTCCAGTACTGTAAATCTAATCCAGGTGGTTTGTGATGAAGAGTTAAATAAAATTACTCTCAGTCTTTTCTGTCTTGACAGTCACTCCCTTCCTAAAGAAAATTAAAAAAAAGGTAAGATTTGATAACTCATTATGGTGAATAAAGCAGAAGAAACCAGCAGGAACTTGGATCCCCTTGGTCCAGATCACAAACTCTGTCAGTCTCCATCCTCAATCCCTGTTCTCTCAGCTGCTTCTCTCCAAGGTGGATCCCTCAGAAGTTCATCTCTCTTCCTCCACGTTTATTTTTGGCTGTTGTGTGGAGTTCCCAGCCAAGCCAGGGACAGTGTCCCATCACCTCCTGCCCCTCACTCCCACCCCACCCCTGTGCTATGCCAACTTCTGGGTTTCTCCAGTACAGCCATTTATGGGATGTGTTACACAACGGATCAGGAAGTCGACCTGGTTTTAAAATCAAACCAAAACTGGATGGAGCAGGATTCTGGCCGAGTCCCAGCTTGGAAGTCCTTCACTTCCCAAATGCTGGGCAACCCAACCCAACCTTTACCTATATTTCCAGCACAGAGGAGGATTCCCAGCTCCCAGTGCTCTGTCCTGTTCCCAGTGGGCTGGGTTTCCAGGTGAGGCAGGAGAGTCCCAGTCTAATCCTAATCCTAGCCCTAAACCTGCTTGCAGCAGAGAACACAAGTCCACCCCGACACCAGCTCTTATTGCAGATCCTGTGGCTGGAGCAGGTTCCTGGTGGAACTGCAGTTCCCAGGACCTCATTCCTCAATTTTAATCGATCCCTTCAGCTGTTGAGGACCAAACCAGAAAATGTTGTAGACCATCTGTAATGTGTAACCAGAATCCCAGAATCCCTGAGACTGGAAAAGCCCTCCCAGCCCATGGATCCCCCCTTTGCCCCATCCCCACCTTGTCCCCCAGCCCAGAGCACTGAGTGCCACATCCAGGCCTTCCTGGGACACCTCCAGGGATGGGGACTCCAAACCTCCCTGGGCAGCCCCTGCCAAGGCCTGACCACCCTTTCCAGGAGGAAATTCCTCCTGATGTCCAACCTGAACCTTCCCTGACTTTTTAATGAAAAGGACACTCGGGAGAACACTGTTGTACAAGAGAAGAACCATGCAGGTTATTCATTATTGAAATAGTATTAACAAGCCAACAATATCCAGTTGGTTGTGCTGGAAAAGAAAATTAAAAAAAAAAAAAGCCATCATCTTTTAAATGATATTTTATCTCTGCCCAAGTTGCCAGAGCTTGGGTATAGCCAGCAAAATAAAAGTAGAGGATGACTGAGCAAATGCATAGACTCCTGAAAACTGTAATATTTTCAAGTGTTAGCAAAAAAAAAAAAGTCCCTCAAAAAAACCCCCAAACTCAAACCCCAAGAAGTTACAGTATTACAGTAAAGAGTGTAACAACTCTCTGTGAGCTCTATAGTTACCTACATTGACCAACAGAGCAATTACTGTGTCACTGCATGGCGCCATTCACCCAGACTGGCAAAGAGATTTTAAAGGGGTTTACAAAATCCTCACGGGGATGGACCCCCCTGTCCCTGAGGGAGGAACTGCCCTTCCTGACTGAGGAGCTGGGCAGAGGTTATGCAGGACAGCTGGTGCTTTTTGGATTGTTCTGGAATTTCCTCTACAATATTCAGTGTGTGCAGGTGCCCTGGGCCAAAATCCAACACTTGGGAGCCCCTGGGTAGCAGCAGGTGGTGCCAAGGGCCTTTGCTATCATGGAATCATCAAGGTTGGGAGAGACCTTCAGGATCATCCAGTCCCACCCCAGCACCACCACAATCACCCCTAATCCATGGCCCCAAGGGACACATCCAGACACCTCTGGAACACTCCCAGACACAGGGACTCCACCACCTCCCTGGGACACTTATTCCAAGGTCTGACCACTCCTGCAGGGAATTTTTTTTCTCTAATCTCTGATCTGAACCTGTCCTGGTCCAGTTTAAGGCCATTTCCTCTCATCCTTCCATTGGGATGTGGCAGAAGGGCCCGACCCTCCCTCCCTGTCTGTCAGGGAGTTGCAGAGAGCAATGAGGTCCCTCCTGAGCCTCCTCTTCTCCAGATAAACCCCCCCAGCTCCCTCAGGTGTTGGGCAAGAACCACATTCTGGTCATTCTTGAAGGCAAAGGGAGAAGTGTCAAAAGCAGCCCTAATTGACCTCAAATCTTTCTGGGGCTGAGGGGAATGAGAAGTGACCACTTCCATCACGGTGCTCCCAGAGTCCTCCCAAGGCTGTAAGGTGCAATTTCATGGGTGATTTCATCTCACCTGACACTGGGCTGTGACCCATGGGGGGGTCCCACGATTCCTCCGCCATGTTCCTTCTGTTCCCTCGGCATCCGTATCCCCAGAGAGGGACTTCTCACACAGACTTGGAGCGACAGGACAAAGGGCAATGGCCTTAAACTGAAAGAGAGCAGGGTTAGATGGGATATTGGGAAGAAATTCTTCCCTGTGAGGGTGGGGAGGCCCTGGCACAGGTCACCCAGAGAAGCTGTGGCTGCCCCTGGATCCCTGGAAGTGTCCAGGTTGGACGGGGCTTGAAGCAACCTGGGCTAGTGGAAGGTGTCCCTGCCCATGGCAGGGGGTTGGAACTGGATGATCTTTAAGGTCCTTTCCAACCCAAACCATTCCATGATTCCATGATCGCAGTGTTTAAGTAAAAGTCTCAATGCTCCAATTATTTGGGGCACTTTGGCTGCGGCTCCACCCGTCCCCCTGATCCTTGGCTGCTTATTTCCACCTTTTAAGTTGAGATTAAAAAAATATTAAAACAGGGAGAAAGAGCAAATGGAACAAGTAACATGTCCTAATTTCTCCAAGGAGGCTGGCTGTGAACTGAAATGACTAGATTAAAGTATCACACGTTAGAATTAAAGTATTAGATAAAGGCCATACTCTACTTTTTGATCTTTGTGGGCATTCCAGAAAAAAAATAAAAAATAAAAAATAAAAAATTTTAAAAAACCCTGTCACAGATTTAGGTTGGTGGCACCGACCTGGCAATTCCAAGGGGAAAGGAGCCTTCCCTCAGGAGCTCGAGGCTCCCACACCAGGATAATTTTTTAGTGCATTTTTTTGGGAATACATTTATTTTCAGAAGGGGATGAGAAAGATCCCTGGACACAATTCCTAGGGGAAAGGAGCCTTCCCTCGTCAGCTCCAGGCTCCCAAACCCAACATGTTTCTGGGGAAACACATTTATTTTCTGAGAGGTATGAGAAAGACCCCTGGATGGAATTCCAAGGGGAGAGGAGCCTTCCCTCAAGAGAAGGATCCTGTCCTTAGCAGCCCAAGGCTCCCACCTCGGGAAACTTCTAGTGCATTTTCTAATTTTTTTTTTTTTTTAATGGGGAATATATTGATTTTCTGAGAGGGAGGATTAAGACCCCTGGATGCAATTCCGAGGGGAAAGGAGCCTGTCCTCGGCAGCCTGAGGCTCCCACATTGGGCTTATTTTAGCGCAGTTTTAAACTCCTTTTCTGAGGGGGATGAGAAAGACCCCTGGACGAAAATTCTGAGGGGAAAGGAGCTTTCCCTCAGAATCTCGCGGCTCTCAAACCCAACATGTCTTTAGGGAAATACATTTATTTTCTGAGGGGGATGAGAAAGACCCCTGGACGCAATTCCGAGGGGAAAGGAGCCTTCCCTCAGGAGGGAAAGGAGCCTGTCCTTAGAAGCCCGAGGCTCCCACACCGGGAAACTTACAGTGCATTTTTTAAATTGGTTTTTTTTTGGGGGGGGAATACGTTGATTTTCTGAGGGGGAGGAGAAAGACCCCTGGATGCAATTCTAAGGGGAGAGGAGTCTTCCCTCAGGAGGGGGAAGCCTGTCCTCAGCAGCCCGAGGCTCCCGCACCGGGCTAATTTTAGCGCATTTTTAAACTCCTTTTCTAAGGGGGAGGAGAAAAAAACCCCTGGACGCAATTCCGAGCGGAAAGGCGCCTTCCCTCCGGAACTCGAGGCTCCCACAGCGGGCTCCTCTTACTGCGTTTTCAAACTGGTTTTTGGGGAATACGCCTGTTTTCGGAGGGGCCGAGCCCGGCCGGTCCCTCCCCTCACGCCGGGCGGGCGGGAAGCCCCGGCGGGCTCGGCCTCGCCTCAAGCGGCCGCCGCGGCTCCGGCGCCCCCTGCGGGCGGGGGCCGGCGGCGCCTCACCCGGCGGGGTCCCCTCACCGGGAATGGCGGCCGCTCCCCTTCCCCGCCCCGCCGGGGCCATCCCGGCCCGCAGCGCCGCCGACACCGTCACACGCCGGAGGGCGGGCGCGGATGGATCGGGAATAGGGATGGAATAAGGGGGAAAGGAGGGGGGGGGGAATGGGGAAGGAGCCGTTGCCATGGCGAGCAGCGCCCGCCCTTCCCTCCCCACGTCAGCGCCGTCTCCCGCCCGGCCGCGGGTGATTGACAGTTGCCATGGCAACAGGTTCGCCCCGCCGCCATTTTGTCAGTTGGGGTTTTTTTTTAAATTTAAAAAAAAAAAAGTAATAATTAAAAAAAAAAAAGAAAAAACCACCGAAGCGCTGTCTTTTCCCGCCAGAATCGCGGGGTTTCTTGTTTTATTATTTTTTAATTTCTCTTTTTTTTTTGCGCTTTCTCCTTGTTTCGACCTCCAACCGCGAAAGGAAAAGGAAAAAGAAAGGGACGCAAAAAAAAAAAAAAGTGCGCTCTGAGGGTCCCGCCGGGGATGCGCGGACGGGACTGAGGCGGCGGCGGTGCGGGAAGCGGAGCCGGTTCGTGAGGAAGGAGGGAGGGCGAGAGGGAGGGAAGGGGAAGGAGGAGCGGGCGGGGAGGGAGGGAGGGGGAGGAGGTAGCGGCTGGCAGGCGGGGGAGGGAGGGAGGGAGCGAGGAGTTCCCGGGGGCTCGGTACGGCGCTGCGCTTCCCCCCATCCCCTCCTCCTCCTCCTCTCCTCCTCCTCCTCCTCTCCTCCTCCTCCCGCTCCTCCCGCTCCCCCCGCCGCTGTCCCCGCGCTCCCGGCCGGGGCTCAGGCCGCCGATCGCAGCCGAGCCGAGGCGAGGCCGAGCCGCCGCCGGGCGCTGCGCAGGTTTGGACCGCGCGCCATTTTGTGAGGGCAGCGAACACCCAGAGCCCGGCCGGGGACCCGCCGGGCCGCCCGCGCCCCCCTTCCCTCCGCGGCCACCGCCGCGGCCCGAGGGAGGAGGAGGAGGCGCCGCCGCCGCCGAGGCCCCCGGGGGGGGGGAAGAGCGGGAGGACGCGCCCGGGCCGCTCGCCCCGCCAAGGGAGGAGGCCTCGCCCCGGGAGAAGCCGCCGCTCGGGTGAGTGAGACGCCGCACCGCGGGACGAGCCGGGGCCGCCTCGCCCGGGCCCGCGGCGGAGGGGCCGCAGCGCTCCGCTGCCATCTTAGAGCGGGAGCCATCCCCGCCCGCCCCTGCGCTCCCCGCGGCCTTTCCCCGCTCCCGGCGCGGCTCTGCCTTCCCGGGCCTTGGGAGCGGCGGTGGAGGAAGGGGAGCTCGCCCGGAGCCGCTCGGTGTTATGCGCAACGCCCTGCGGTGGGCGGGTGCGAGGGCTCGGGCCGGGCCGGCCGCGGGGAGGGCGGCGGGACTTGGAGCATCACCTGTTGTAGGGCAGGGTTGGGATGGCCCGGCACCTGCGAGGGGGGCAGGTGGGCAGCGTGGAGGGGGAGATGGGCGAGGAGTTACCTGAGCGAGGTGCCTGTCATCCCGCCGGTGGGGGGTGGGGAGGAGGAGGAGGAGGGAGCAGCGTTGGGAATAGCACAGGGACACACAGGGACACGCAGGGACACACCGGCACAGGGACACACCGGCGCTTCCCGGGGAAGGGTGGCGGAGTCCCCATCCCTGGGGGTGTCCAAGGAGCCGACTGGACGCGGCGCTCGGTGCTCCGGGCCGGGTGACACGGTGGGGATGGGGCACAGGGTGGACTGGATGATCTTGGAGGGCTTTTCCAGGCTCGGTGATTCTGGGATTCCATGTTTTAATAGCTGGTCGCAGCCCTGGTGGGGCTGAGCTTTGTGTGGCTGGAGGGATTGGAGCCCTCCTCGGGTAGGCTGGGTGCTCCTCTGGAGCGGCCACAGTTCCCTCCCGCCGCCAAGGAATCACAAAACGCAATTAAAAAGTCCTGTATTTCGAAATTTCGAAATTGGTGCGTTTTTGAATCTCGGTCAGCTTTGAAGTTTTGGGTTCAGCCCGGCCAAGGACCACATAAGGGTTCTTTGATCATGTATCTACATTGCTGCTCTTACTTAGTTCTCCTATTACTCCCCAGTCACGGGGGAAATAAACATTTATTGTTATTGAAAATTAACAAAGGCAGAATATCTGACTACAAAATAAATCAAAAAGCGTGTTTTTGACAACCATCCCGCTTTAATCTGAATTAGAGTGTCCTGTTAACTTTTGCCAGGGGGTTCCTACAGTCAGACTTAGGTGGATTTAGTATCATGGGGGTCTGGATTTGTACAAGTCCACAACTTTTTTTATTACCTTGTTGGTATTTCCTTACATTTTCCTTAAGAAGAGGTGTGTCGAGTTGAAGAATACACAGATGATATCTGGTGATAAATAAGCAAAGATTTAGTTTCTGGTAGTATTTAATTCCCTGCCTGTAGCCAAGCAGAATTTGCCTTCCCTCCTTGGAATAGTCTGTAGCCCTAAAAAGTTTTGGTAAACTTGTTTCTCTTTTTTTCTCCGTGTCCCCCCTCCCCCAACCTGTGTAGGTTGGATATTTTTGGAAAATTAATTATACTTTATAGAATTAGAATAATAACACTGGAAATAACTCTGAGCTAGTATTTGTTAACTATTATCTATATATATTTGCTGTGTGTATATATAGATACTTTTGTAGGCTACGCTTCATGTTTTTGGCTTACATGAATTATTTAGAACTAGACTGTTTTTATTTGCAGTCTGAAGTCGAATATGTGTGTGAAGTGTTAAATTTACATTTTCTGCTGCAAATTAAAAATTCTCTCCGAGTTTATGAAGCTTATTGAGTTTAATTCATGGCTTTGCAGTGTTCCTCGGGTAAAGCAAGTGTATCTTGTTCAAAACTGAATAAAAAGCAGGGATTTCTTGAACCGGGAGGGCAAGAGGACAATAGTTTAATATTGTTTCCAGGCTCAGAGGTTTGTTACAGGAGCAGGAACTGTTACAGTTCCTGCATCAATACTTGGGTGGATTTAGGACTTGTCATTGGAATCCCCTCCCCCACGTTGGACAGTGACAGAGAAGCCACAACAGGGATAATTTTACCTAATAGCAGCCAAGAGTTCTCTGTTCCAGGGTGGATTTATGGGCAGGATTCTCTTCCTTGTGGGAAATAACGAGGCAGGCACCGGGAATTTCTCAGTTTTTGGGGTCTGGGGGATTGTGTGGGCTGGGAATCAGCACCTGATGGCCCTGAGCGACTCCTGCAAACTGGTTGATAGTTTAACCAAAGTAGCACAACCCCACTGGTGTCCAGGAAAAACTGTGCCTTGTCTGAGCTCCTGAAGTGCCATTTAATTAGGACATATTTGCTGACATGTGCCACAGCTTAAAATCATGCTTGAAACTGGACCACCTGCTCGGATGGGATGTGAGGAGATGAGTTACACACTCAAAAACTGAACCTTTCTTTGCCACGATGGCATTTTACAGCTTCATCTGAGCTCCAATGGGTGGTGGTTCGAAGACTAGAACCTACCAGTACCAAAAAAGAGGCAATTTGTGTTGCTATAATTAGATTATCTTTTGGGCATTCCTCTTAAGACCTCTCTATTTCAGGTGGTTTTAGCCCTGGCTGTGGGACTGCAGGTTGAAAGTTGTTGTTCCAGTTCATGTTTCTGAGTAAGAATTGCAGCCTGCTGTATGTTCAGCCTTTAAATGGTAATTTTTAATGCCATTTGAGGAGCTGTTCTCCAAAGTGAAGGCAAAAACTTTCTGATACCTTTGTTTTGAGGGAGCACGGGAGACTTGTATAACTTCTGAAATCCTTTTGTAAATAGATCTGTTGTTGTAGAATAGGATTATTTACAGAGAACTGCTGCTTTTGTCTTTATAACCCAGTACAAAAGATTATTTGTTAAGTTTACAGTTTCATCTCTTTTTTTTTTTTATCAAGAGGTTGGTAAGAAATATCTGTTTAAAAAAAAATTATGTAATAACTTTTTGGCTGCTCAGACTTCAAGAAGTCTGATGTTTATGCAGTGAGACTTCTTTATTGCTCTAAGACTATTTGAAATAATACCAAAAAAAACCTCTCTGAGCAAACTGCCTTTCTTGTGAGAGGTGAAAAACATAATCCAGAGAAGGGGAATACTCTGCTTTTCCTTCCTCACCTCCATGGGTCCTTCAGGAGGAGGGTTATGGGAACTGTAGTCCATGGATGGTTCCAAAACACCACAGAAACTTTATGTAGAGTTATCTGGTGCTGCCTCTTCAAGGTGACACAATGCAGAATAGAATTGCAATGATTGCCCGATTTTTTTTTATCCATCTTTTCCCCTTTTGGGGGAAGGAAGGTAAAATTCTGCACGTGGTTGTGTTTTATCCAAGCCTGACTGGAAAAATAACTTCCCTGCTTTTGCTGGTACCAATGGATTTCAGTCCCTCAGAACAGGGCTCTGCTTTGTACTCCCCCACTATGAAAATATGACTTTATCATCTCCTTATTCACCCCAGAATGGGATTTTCAGGGAGAATCCCCACTGCAGGGCTGGGGAAATGCAGGACACAGCTCCCAGCTTGTGTCCATCCAGTGGGAATACTCTGGAGCCTCCCAAATCTGGGCAGCAGCTCCTTCAATCCCCCTGCACAAGACAAAATCAGCTGCATTCCAGCCCTGAATGTGGCATTTTGGAAAAGCAGGGGAACGGTGCTGTAATTGGAATAACACAAGCTGGCACTTATTTGTAAACATACTCCTTGCAAAGTTTCCAGGCTCTGAGTAGCACCAAATACCTGAAAGTGAAACCCAGTAAATGAAAGTAAAATTAACTCCATTAAGGGCCAGTTTTGTTCCAGCTGTGAGAAACCAACCTTTCAATTGATGTGTTACATAAAGTTCCAAGCCCTTCTGTTTTTCTTTTTTTTTTTTTCCCCCTCTTTTCCTTTTCCCCCAGAGGCAAATAAAAATAGACTGTGTTGTGAGTCAGTTAAAGGAATAGTTAATAATACATTAATACCTCTTTGTGTTGAAAAGTTTCCTCTTTCTTTTTAGTAACTGTTTGGATGGTGAAGGAAGAGAGGGATGGAAATGTACAAATTGATTTCTGATGGCAGAGTTATTCCTTCAAAATATAGTGGGAAAAAATTTAGAGGGAGTTTTGATGAGTTACTGAGAACAAAAAAAATCAAATTAGTAGAATGAGTAGTTGACAAAATACATTTTAATGATTAAATTGAACTTGCCAGTAAAACTTTTAAATCTTGGTGTCCCAAAACCCTGTTGTTCATTGGTTTTTTTGGACACGTTTCCTTCAAAATCCTGTTTCCCTGTATGTGTTCAAATCATAATTTGTGCTTCTGTGAACTCCATAAATTGGTAATAACTCCTCATTTGCTTTGCCAGTTGGCCCATTGCTGAGGATCCAGTTGGGACATGCAGCATCCACTTTGGAGAGGGAATAATTTTGTGTCCATGATACCAGTTTGCTGTTAAAACTCAAGGAAGGGGTAAAAAGAAGAGAGAAATATTGTCAGGGAGGGAAGGGAATGTGTTGGTGATCCCTCAGCTCTGTATTTGCCTGGACACTGAATTTCCTCACACCAAACACTCTCTTTGGTCTGTCCAGTTGTAATTCAGCTTTTTACCTACTTATAAATATATACCTAGATATATTCTTGTATTTAAATATTTTTAACAGGATTTATAATGAACCACAGACATTATGTGTGTGATTATGACAAATCAGTCTCCAGTACCCACTTTGAAAATCTGAGTGATACTGGAAGCACAGTAACTTTCCTGGATCATGTCTCATTCTGGCTTCTTTGTTGTTATTCTTTCCAACTTGTGGATAATTCAGCATTAATTTAACGGTGTGACAGAGTCAGTGTTTGAAATATATTGATTTCTTTGTTCATTTGACAAGAAGTGATTGTTGCATGAAGATCTTGGTAGTTTTCCTTTCTGTAGAAGTTCCTCGTAAATGCTACAAATACCAGGGGAGTGTTGTGGAATAACAGCTTAATGCCCATTTTTCACCATGGTCAGATGTTCCTAAGTTGGAACTCTGTGCTCTTGTACTCGGGGTGACTTTCCTGCCAATGTCACAGTGTGCCTTCAGAAACTGGGGTTTTATGGCAGGCCC